GTCTTGTCTTCATTCCTTTTCTGGGAGAACCTCCTCGTATAACTCTTCTTCTGTTCTTTAATCTCATCTTGATTCCTTGTGGACACCTTGAATTTTTTGTGCCATCTCATAATCTTCAGATAAATGTTTTCTGGGTTCTTTTTCATTGTGTTCTATTATTTCTCTTTTAGGCCTAACCCCATGCCTTCCAGGAGCCCAAAACAATGTTTTTTTTTGTGTGGGTCAAGCCCAAAAGGTAGCTTTATTTTTCAAACCTCTTCCTTCATTTCTTGTGGTAGGGAATTGTTATTGTTCCTATTGTTTTTTTTATCTGTACTACCATTCTTTTGTCATTTATGGAAGTGTATTTAATGCATTTTAAAAATCGTTTTTAGAATTTAATTTTGGAACTAATTTAATTTGTATTATCATCCTTCCTTTTGTTTTTGAAATAGAATCTTTGAAATTGCACTTAATACATCTCAAAAATTAAATTTTGAAAGTAATTTATACATCATTTTAAAATTTAATTTTTAGAACATATTTTATACTTAAATTATGAAAGTTATTATATAAATGACAACTAAACTTTTAATTTTTAAAATATATTAAACACATTTAAAAATAAAATTTGAAAAAACAAAAACAATGGCAACACTACCAAAATAAATCATGTTAAGATAATTTCCTAGTTATAGTTAAAAACATATTTCAAATAGCACATAAAATATATAAAAAATAAAAAAGTATGAATAATAAAATATGTATTATAAAAGGGGTGTTTGAGAGTAATTTTTATTTTTATCACTAAGCTGCCACCTAAGAACCTAGAACCTGCTCAGACAAAAACATAGTATTTAAATGGACATGATAACAGCACTGAAACTGAGCTGAAGTTGAGACAGAGGGTGAACAGTAAACAAGCTTGATTTCCTAATATCAAGGTTGTGTTGAAAGAGCCCAGAATCAGTGATTTACACGTGGAAAGTTGGGGAATCATTTGGAAACATTAGGGGTCACCCCTATGCTGCATTAAAAGCATATTATAATCATTGCATTTGCTTTTTCAATTATTTTTTAATATCTGTCATAACAATTAATACATCTTTTTCAAGGAGGGGACATATCGCTAATGCTCTCCCCACTCACTCCGCCATGGATCTCCGCGTGACAATGGAGATCTCAGAGACCAAACACTGTTTCATGAACAAGACAAATACTTTCATACTCATTTTCACTGCTTCTATTCTCAGCTTCTTTTTTTTTTTTTCAGACTCTTGAGACATTTTTACTTGCGTATCAAGTGACGGCTTCAGACTATTTACTGTCATCAAATCATTATTCAAAGATTTATTCCATTGCAAACAAAAATAAAGTTAAGGATTTGTTTATGTTACTCTATATGATTTTGTTTTAAGTGAAGTAATCAAATTAAGATATTATATTTTATAAAAATTATTAAATGATATAAATTTATCATCAAAATTTAATCAATGATATACAGCTATATTCTTGGTTCATAGATAGTTAACGATGACATGTCCTTCCTAATTAAAGAGCGTAAATATATAGTTTATGATTTTTACAAAAAAAATGCGGAGGAGCTTAGCCCTGAAGTTATCTTATTTTGTAGTTAAAAAATTATAATCATGATTTAAAATTTATTAATCATAAGATTAAGAATTGTATGACTCAATTCCATTTTTTTAACTAGTGTAAGATCAACTAAAATTACGTGTATATCTTTATCAATGAAGTTCATTTTCCCTTTCTACATAATTAAATACCTTACGAATTGCACCACAAACAGTCTAATTACAATACTTTGAATTTGTTGGTGCATATGCTTTGCGTCAACTTTGTCTTTTAATAGAGCTAATTTTATTTAGACGTTTGTACCTGCTGTCTTAGTATTGGTTACCTTAGAAAATGTAAAGATTTTATATAACTTACAATGTAATTTTTTTTTATCACTTAAGTGTATATTTTGTAAGCATGCATTTCCCTTTCACAATGTCACCTCAATCATATGCATCAACTTGCTTGAACCTATACCTCATTCACTAGCTCCTGTAAGCATAGTGTCTATGGTTGAACTAGTTTAGCCTTTAAAAACCTTAACCAATGTAGCAACAGTTCCTAGTAACCAATATTTGAATTTTTAAATCACAAAACTCTCTCCAATATTACACCTTCTCTTTATCTCTTATAAAGTAGACCTATCATTTACAACATCATATTATCTATTCTTTTTTCCCCACCATTTTGTATACAGTACATTCTAGATGTTTCATCCATTTATGTAAGTATAAATTCTATCATTACAGCAATAAAAGATTGGTCTTTCATACAATTTGACATCAAATTGCGTTCTTAAATCAATACTTATTTGAGAAATTCAACGTGGAATTATCAGTAGGGTAGATAGTTCAAAGGTAGAACTTGGGGTGTAAGCTTTCACAAATTAATTCATTATTGGTTCAGACATACTTTACACAATGTTTCTGAAAGTTTTCCTCAATATTATTACGAAAACAATTTTGATAGTCCAAAAATAACCAATCCTTATTCACCATAGTCTTATTCTATTCTATCTTGGTAATTTTCCTTGTATATAATTGCTTTGGCCAAATCCTGCCAAAATCGTTGTAGCCCAAATTACAAGCTTAATTTAGAAGAGTCTTCTAGGCATTTGTTTGAAGTACTTCCTTGGCTTGAGAATTTCAAACTCCTAAATACATACGCCTTACCTTGGTGGATCTGAATTTAAAGCTTCTATGTTTGTTTGGTTAACTTTTGAAAAATGATTTTGTTTATAGGTCTCTAATTAGAAATTTTATGTACCTTATCATTTATTAACCTGATATAACTTATATTGTAAAAAAATTGAGTCAATTCATTTTAGTTTCAAGGTCATCTCACCTTTAAGCTATATAACGTTTTCTAAAATAAATCTAAAGTTCATTGGTCTATTGTTTTTTCCTTCAACATCTTTCCCTCACAAATACTTGTGATAGATGTAATTTAAATTTTGGTGTTCTAACTTTTAGCACATAAATGAAGGAATACCTTTCCTATGGATCACTTTAATGAGCTAAAGAATATGATAACTTTGATCGAGAAGTACCAAAACAAAAATAAAGACGACAATCTCTATGTGGGTCATGGAAAGGGCACGCACCACTTTGATGATGACGAAAATGACTATTAAATTTAGATAATCTCATATTAGCTAATAACATGATAATGCCAGGTTAGTGAAACCTTAACTATTCATTCCTTTTAAGCCAAATCAATAGTTAAAATCATGACATTTCTTTTTCTCTCCACTAAAAACACACAAGATCACTAATTTTTTATATTTGTTTTTCAATTCAACTTGTTAATTTCTTACTCTTAAGGTTGGTATAGGAGCTAGAGATTGAGAAGTGATGAGGGGAGATGACAATGGTAGCCCTATGAGTGGGTGGCTTTGGGTTTGCGAAACAAATCTCCAATGGCATGGAACAATGGCCCTAAAAATGTGTGGTCACAACTTTTTGGACGAAGTTTTGAAGACCCGTCTTTGCTTGTTATGGTTGATGTGAAGTAAAGCAATAAAACTAGATTGGTGTGAGAATGAAGGATGCAATACAATGGAGATGGATTGGTGCACACATTAGCAGTGATTCTTGGTTGTTGTTCATCATGATACAAACTAGAGGGTTGGTCATAACAACAAGGTTTTTTACGTTGGGTGCTTAATGCCTTGAAGACCTCAAGCATGCATGGTCATCAACTAGGTTGGTTGTTTGAGAGTTGTGTCAGAGATGAGTGGTCTCTAGTGACAAGTTTTGCCTAGGTCTACAACATGTCAACCATGGGAAAACAAGAGAACAAAGAGAAATAGGATATGATGAATTTTTAAGAGAGAGGAAAAATGTTATTATTTTATCTATTGATTTAACTTTGCTAAATAAATGAATAATTAAGATTTCACCAAGAAGATATTACCTTATTAACTTGCAATGGAAGAGGATCCTGACCTAGTGACAATTATAATAGAACTAGATTTATTATATAAATATTGGATAATAAGAATATGTTTGATTTCTCTTTTAAAAAGAGTTTTCAATTTTTTTTAAAATATAGTATAAATTTATATTATATTTAAAAAAATTAAAAATTCTTTTAAAAATAGAAAACAATCATTCCCTAAAATTTCCACAAAATAGAGCATGAGAAGCAGCATTTTACTCAAATGTTTGATAAGGAACATTTAAAAAGTGAGGGGGAGAAATCAATTTTAAATGATAATAGTATAATTAAAAATATAAAATTAGTACTTTTATTTTAAAAAAATTTGTTTTGTTTTAATTTTTTAACTTCTTTTGTGCAACTTAATCTTTTAACTTCATTTTAGTTCCACATAGATAAATAGATAATTTTATTCATGTTTACTGTTGGAATCATCGTCATCTTAGCCATCAAACTAATAAGGTTTAAAATTATTAATTTTATCTATAAAACGTATCATAATATATTGTGGAATAAAATAAAACTCAATTTTAAAGCAATTTAGAGTAACTTGTAATAAATTTGATATCTTATGAACTGATAAATTCAAATTTTTTAATATTAAACTCACTCCAAACCTTGGGAAAGAAAATAGAAAGTGCGACGTATTTTGGGGAAGGATGATGAAGTGATTGAGCGTTTCTAGCGTATATTAAATGGAATAAATTAAATTATAGATACAGAAGAATTGATTTTGAAGACGCAAAATATACGTTTGAAAACTTTATTGGAGGAAAAGACGATGAAGTTGATTCCATGTCTGCAAGACATTCGAAGGTTTCCTACAAATTGGTAAAAAAGTGGCTGATTCCACGTATTGGGAAGGTTGGTGTCTCTCAGCGATGCCCTTGAAGCTCAAACAGTAACAGTAAGCTCCACTGCGATGATACCATTATCATAATAGAAACACTCTTTGTTTTGAATCTCCTCTGTTTCCTCTTCACTTACTTCATTCAAAGGCAAAAATGATTCAGTTTCTAGCAAAACCCGTTACGTTATTCGCCGCGAAACCTTCTCCGTTGGCCACTTTTGCAGCGGTTATCGTCCTCTGCATTCTGGGTTTCTATTCCCTGCATTTTCCTTACCCTTTTACCACTTCCAACAACGCCTCGCGCTTCCGCCACGTGTTCCTGTCTTCCTCGTCCAACTCCACCATATCTAACTACCTCCGCGCCCTCACCATGCACCCTCACCTCGCAGGAACGAAACCCGCTTCTCTAACTGCACGCTACGTTCTCAACCACTTCAACAACCTAGGACTCCGAACCCTAACTGCCAACCACACCGCTCTCCTCTCCTACCCCGTGCGCTCTTCCCTCACCGCGCATTTTAGCGACGGCACCAGCACTGAGTTTCGCCTCGCCGAACCGGGCGGCGAAGACGTCGTTCCGCCCTACCACGCGTACTCGCCGTCGGGTTCGGCGTGGGCGTTGGCGGTGTTCGTAAACTACGGCAGGGAGGAGGACTACCGTGCGCTGGCGGCGGCCGGGGTGGAGGTGGGAGGGTGCGTGGCGGTGGCGAGGGGCGGCGGAGGGATGGCGCGGGGGGCGGTGGTGGAGGTGGCGGAGAGGTTTGGGGCTGTGGCGGTGTTAGTGTTCGGCGATGGTAACACGTGGCGCGAGGGGTTTGAGCGGGGACACGTGATGAGAGGGGGAATAGGGGATCCACTGAGTCCAGGGTGGGGTGGGGTTCATGGCGGCGAGAGTTTGGGTTTGGAAGATAGTGAGGTTTTAAAAAGGTTTCCTAAAATTCCATCCATGCCCTTGTCTTTTGCAGCCGCTGAGAGGATATTGTCCTCTCTTGGTGGCTCTCCTCTGCCCTTGGATTGGAGGGCTACCCTAAAGTCCTCCAAGGTTAGGAATGTTGGTCCTGGTCCCACACTCCTCAACTTTACTTATCAGGTTTTGTTCTTATTCTTCTTTCTTTCTTTTTCGAAAAAGATAAATCTGAAAGTTTTCAAATGTTCAAAAATAATTAAAAGTTGTCTGAATTGTATATACAATACTTATGTTATTAGATAGGATGCGTTTATTGTTGTTTTTATTTAATTTTTTCTAAAATATTTTTTAATTATTATATTACTAATAATATAGTTTAGACAAAAATTACTTTAAAAAAATGATAATAGACCCACCGAAGTGACAACAGGCACTCCATTTAATATAACAAGAAGATTATTAAGATAACAGAATACCTGGAAGGATATGGCATAATACGTAAAGAGGAGTGAAGGAAAGGTTGGATTCTTTTATTTTTGAAATTAGATAGTGTTCCTTTGATGATTTTGGTATTCAATTTAATTGGTCATGTCTGTTGTATGTTAGCTCATAAATATTAGAGCTCGTTTGGATATACATCTCATATGGAAAAAAAAATTGAATCTAATAGATAAGAGACGATAACGGGCCTTATTTAATTGGGTGAGGTTTCATGGAATCAAATAGATAAAATAAAATAAATTCTTGCATAATTTTTAAAGGGGCTTTCTTGTCTAATTTCTCTGTAAGCAGCTATTAACTTATAACGACCTTTTTCTCAATTCAAAAGTTGTTATAAGCTAGAAGTTAATCCAAACTAGGTTAACCTATTACTATGATCTAGAAATGAAACACATGTAGAAAAAAGGATCAAAGCAACAGAAACCCTATAGTCAAGGGTAACTTGTACTGTTTAATGTGCATGTTTTCAGTCTGGCTGATTTGGTTTTTCAGGGAGAAAAAAAGGTGGCTACCATTGAAAATGTTTTTGCCATTATAAAGGGACTGGAGGAACCTGATCGCTATGTTCTGCTTGGGAACCATAGGGATGCATGGACATATGGTGCTGTTGATCCCAACAGTGGGACAGCTGCACTACTTGACATTGCTCGTAGATATTCAATTCTATTGCGTTTGGGGTGGTCTCCACGTAGGACAATCATTCTATGCAGTTGGGATGCAGAGGAATTTGGAATGGTGGGTAGTGTTTCTGTCTGAACTAATCTGCATCATGGTTAACCACTTCCATTATGTGGTCATTGGTGGTTGATAAGTCTGAGCCATTGAGAAATAATTGTGGACGTGGTGAAATGCTACTATTATTTGTCTTTTTCACCTAAACTTTGTTGCCATTGTCTTGCACAAGTCTTACATCATGGGTTATAGGTTTTTTTACCAGCTATATGCTTTACAAGTATACTTTTTTTTAAAAAAGGAAATCGTTGTATAGTTTGTGTTTTTACTAAAGCCAGGTATGTACACTATTAAATTAAATCAGTATGCTTTGTTTCAATTATGGTGTCACCTCCTGTAATGTGCAATGTGCAATGTGCTCTCTAAATCAAGTTTATCCCTTTATGTAGATTGGATCCACCGAATGGGTTGAACAAAACCTTGTTAATCTTGGTTCCAAAGCTGTAGCATACCTTAATGTAGACTGTGCTGTTCAAGGGCCTGGTTTCTTTGCTGGTTCAACTCCTCAGCTAGACAATCTCCTTCTTCAGGTCACAAAGAAGGTATATGAAATAGTTACACTTGCATGTTCAAATTTGCATGTGGATATTATTTTAAGTATTGTTGATCCTGGTATTTGATTACTGGTGAACATCAATTGCCTTATATGCTTATTTCAGATCAAGGATCCTGACTCTCTGGGTACAACAATATATGAGAATTGGGTGGCTGTTGGTGGAAACTCTAATGTATACCTTTTATTCAACTGGTCAATGGTTATTTTTAAATATATGAAGTAATACTGTTTCACTTAAATTACTACCATGTTTCAAATATTTTCCCTGTCATGTACTTTTTTGTCTTTGCTGTTTCAACAAATTTGATGATAGTAAAAGTCATTAACTTCTTTACTGTCTAGATGCCTTTTCATAGATTCATATTTATTGTTGCTGTGCCAGTTTTATTTTTTTATTAAGGGAAACAAATTTAAAAGTCGAAACAAAATTAGCATGTTACATTTTATGTTTTACAAATTAGTAGTGAAGAAAAATCATATATTTGCCTTTAAGCTTTTTTTATCTTGATTGATTGCAGATTCAAAGACTTAGTAGAGTTGATTCTGATTTTGCTCCATTTTTGCAACATGCGGGGGTTCCATCAATTGATATATATTATGGAAAAGGTACATGCCTCATTGATATGAATTAAAAGGACACTATGATTTGCCAATTTTTCAAGTAGAGTGATTGGCACATATCACATATATGCATTTACTCATCCCACTCAATTTTAATTTATTAATGTATCTATTTGGGCATTTAAGAGGGCCAGTCCTGGATTTCACAGGTGTCCCTTATTTGGGCATCAATAAAAAGGGGATTTGAAAGGCACTTAATTTGTGGTGAGATTGATAAAGGTTTAGTTTATTTCATGGCTTCTTTGACTGGGTCATTAGATCTGATGACGTCATGGAATTATGTCATGTTGTTTTTTCATGTAAAATATGGCTCAGCACTACAATGATCCTTGTGTTTCAGCTATTACTTGGTCATATTTTAGGATTTGTATCTAGCTATAGTCATCTGGGAGCTAGAACTATAATAAAATCAGAACATACACTGTTTAAGCGTAGAACTTCTACCATACAAAAATCAAAATTTTTGTATCTGAATATGCTTCTATATGTCAATGTTTATATCTATCAAACATGCATGCCATGGGTGTTATTAAATAATGTTCTTTCTTTTTTCTAGATTTTCCTGTCTATCACACTGCTTTCGACTCCTATAGCTGGATGACAGTGTCTGGAGATCCATTCTTTCAGCGTCATGTGGCTGGTCAGATTTCTTGTTTACTCTTTTGATAAGCATTTAAAATCATTATTTTATTAGCCAATAAGTTGTTAATCCGTGCGTCAATCGTAAGATGAAACATCTTCTATTCTTTGTTGTATTAGTTGCCGGAATATGGGGTCTTCTAGCCCTTCACCTTGCTGATGATTCCATTATACCTTTCAATTATCTTTCGTATGCGGATCAGTTAAAGGTGAGCATTTATCATGACTAAGTCTTTTGATTAACTTCTTGCTAAGTACTGGTTTTTGCTATAGTAGTTTATTACCAAACCGGCCAGGAAATTTTATTCAGAGGGTTAATTGGAAAATTTCTTTAGTTATGACTAGTTAAAATACAATTTACAATACTTCTGTTTAGATAACGGTGTTTATGTATCATGGAATTATTATATTTCATAAATTGTCTCAAATGTCCGTAATAACTTACTGTAACTCCTGAAATTTGTTTTTACAACTTGAACCTAGGACCTTTATCGTTCCAATTAATTGAGCTAGTCTCAGGTGGTCAAACAATAATGGTTTAGTATTAATATTAATAAAAAAAAAGGAAATTGGAAATTACTAACGATCCCTAACTGAATATAACATATGTAATTTTTTATTAAGGAAAAATAGAAAGCTAATATGTGGCCGTGTCGAGAGAATAAAATGTTGGGTAAATATAATAAAGTTTTATTAATTTTGATGTTGCTCTGCAATGACTGCAATGAATTTCAAAACTTTCATATAATCTTGGGCAGGTGTACAATAACATATTGAGGAACTTGTTAGACAAGGGGATTTCTTTACATCCACTAAATACATCGATTGAAGAATTTGCTTCTGCTGCCAAAGATGCTAATGATGAATCAAAGGTAAAATCAAAACTGCAGTGGGTTGTCAGTAGTGATATTATTTATTATTTAAAATTTTCATAATTACTCCTTTTTATGTCTTCATCTACTTGTCTATTTTGAACTGCAGAAGCTGAGATTGCAAGAAACTTCAGGTCTTTTAGTAGATATGAAAATGCGAGGATTGAATGATAGACTAATGCTTGCAGAAAAAGGCTTCTTGGATGGGGATGGACTTCGAGGAAGGCAGTGGTTCAAGCATCTTGTGAGTGTGTTTGCCACTTTGCCTCCTATCACTTTGAAGTTCTGATTAAAACTTTTCATTAACCAATTTGACAAATAATGACCCCTCTAATGACATGACGAAGTCCAATGGCAATGTGTTTTTGCCATTTTGCCTTCTATCACTTTGAAGATCTGGTTAAAACTTTCCATGAACCAATTTGACAAATAAGGACCCCTCTAATGACATGACGAAGTCCAATGGCAATGTGTTTTTGCCATTTTGCCTTCTATCACTTTGAAGTTCTGGTTAAAACTTTCCATTAACCAATTTGACAAATATGACCCCTCTAATGACATGACAGTCCAATGGAAATGTGGAAACTTCCATGGTCATTTTGGAATTGAAAATGTTTCAGGGGCATGATCACTATAATAATTAGTTAATCCTAATCCACTCACAGTATCTCTAGTTTAAAAATTACAACTAGCTCAATCAAACTTGTAGTTGAATGAAATACAAAAAATGGAATTTGTTTAAAGAATACCAACATCCTTGTTCAGGGCTGCACATTATCTTATATTGTTTTTCACCAATCTGTGATTTTTAGTGTGCTAGGGTGTGCCTTGGTATGCTTTGTCTGTTAAAATACACATGTTTGTATATTTAAGTTAACCAAGTTAACCAACATACTGGCTACACAGCCAAAATCTCTCTGTTGCTTATGTTTCATTTATCATGTAATTAGTAGTTTATTTTTGTCATTACTGTATGTTATTAAACCCTCATGCATATAGGAGAGAACCTGATGATTTGTTTGCATTGTCCAGGTTTTTGGGCCTCCTAGCGACCATGAAAGCAAGTTGGATTTCTTCCCTGGAATTGCTGACTCTATGTCTAGGACGATTAAAATGAGTGAAAAAGAAAGGTTAGCAGCAATTCAGCATGAGATCTGGAGAGTTGCAAGGGCCATTCAAAGAGCTGCTTCAGCACTAAGAGGGGAATTGACCAAAAACTAGTGGAAAAGATGGAAATATTTGTTTGAGTTAACCTGTAAATATCGGTTCCTTTTTTGGCCAGGAGTGTAAATTTACATGAAAATTTAAACTGTACATTAAGGGAAGAAAGCAGTTTGTCTTGTTTTTCATTGCTTTGCTGGGAATTCAATTTTCTATTGGAGTCAAGTGTGTGATTGAAAACATGTTGAAAAATATATAAACTTGAATCCAATGCATAAGCTACAACTAGTAGTCAGGAAGTAATGTCGATTCAGATCATGTAAACATGAAACTAAACTTACTCTAAATGAATTTCTTCATTCTGGCCAAGTTTCCTCTTTCTTTTTCAAATGTACCAAAAATAACATTGTGATCATGATCTTTGATGAGTAGAAAATTTTTCAATGTACTCTAAATTCTTTAAGAGGAAATAAGGATGCTTTTTATATTCAGATGTACCAAGAAAATATTGTAATTATGATATTTAATGAGTAGAAAATTTTTCAATGTTAACCCTAAATTATCTCACAAAATAAAATTGAGTTGTAGCAAAACATTGAACTGAATGGTAATGTGTCATGATAAGTATATTTATTTACTTTTTATGTATATACAATTTCATGATGAGTATTTTTTGGGGATACAGCTTCAACAACTAAATTTTTTAAAATTTTTTTTATTATTAGACTATTTTGTTAACTCATAAATTTCAATTATTTAGGAAACATGAACAACTTATACACTACCTACGTACATCTAAATTGAAGGGCTCTTTAGTGGGCAAAATGAGAAAACTAAACGAGTAAGACGCGCCAGGTAGGGGTCGAACCTACGACTTTCTGCTTAGGAAACAGACGCTCTATCCACTGAGCTACAGGCGCTTGTTGCTGGTAGTAATTACTAATTAATATTTAAATATGTAATTATGAAAGGATTCAATTTCCAAATTTATAAGATTGAACAAAATGTATATAATTAACAAAAATGTAAAGGCGATTCGAATTCTTCCACTTGACGAATGCAACTTCTTCTATTCTGATGAAATAAATAGTGCATGTTGTGTTAATTTTACTCTTATCCTTCAACTACAGAAAAATGACAATCCAACATTTGCTGTTCAGGAAAATATCAATTTGATGTCAAATTTTAGCTGCTTTTGGCTCATACTTCATACAGCTCTGCATTAATAAACATTGGTACGGACTACGGAGATCCCATTTGGGGAAGTTTATACAGAGGCGCTTCAAGAAGAACAAACCAAGAAAATAAAGACCTAATAAGTATTTATAAGTTAAAAAATAAACAAGTAAAATAAATAAATAAATTATAATTTATAAATTACTTATACAAATCTCAATTTTTTTTGAAAAGTTAAATAAATAAATAAAAAGCTTCTTACAAAGTAAAGAAACTCAGCTTATATGAGATGTTTAACTCGTTTTATTTTCTCATTTTTTTTATTATATAAGTATTTATTAAAAAAATTATCCGAACTTAGTCAAAATAAAAAACATATATTTTATAAGTTAAAATCTTATACTTTTTCAGTTTTTAGAAGCATTCGCAATTTCTTTTTCAAAATAAGAGGTTTATAAATTGATTTTAATTTATATAAAAATTATTTATTTTATCTTCTTTTGCTAATGCTTCCGCAAAAGATTATTTAAATTGTGTCCTAGTCTAATAAAATTGTCATATACAATATTAGATGAACCATCTCAGTGAATTTCTTCAACACAGGAAACAAATCCTGGTCTTTTATCCTAATTTAACAAATTATTGACAAAAAAAAACCTAAACAAAAATAAAAAATTATTTTTAAACATCAAATTAAAAAATTAAATATTTTATTAATCTAAATCTTTAGTGTTGAGTTTAAGCAAATAAAAGTAGTTAGTTTTTATTGCCGAAAAACACATTTATTACATTAAAATTATAAAAAAGTGATAAATAATTTTTCAATAAATTAAAAAAAAAAGACCAAACAAAAATAAATTATTTTTTAAAATTAAATCTTATTTTAGCCATATATATATATATATATATATATATATATATATAATATAAAATACTTTCTTGATCTTAATTATAAGAAACATAGGATAAATTTAAAATGTATTAATTGTTAAAAAAAAATTATATTATTTTTTTATTAAGATTATTAAATATACAAGTTACTAAATACACCATTTAATATCATTGATCTTTTTAAAATAAAATTTATATTTATAATAAATATAAATAATTTATTTTCTTTTCTCAATTCTAATGATTTATTCTTTTGTTTTTTTATAAAATAGATCTAGAGAGTATTTTATATAGACTTGCATACTAATGCAATTTTTTTTATTAATATAATTTTTATTTTGTTAATATTCTAAATATTCTGATAGTGTATTGATATTTTATTATTCATCTAAAGAAAATATTAGTAACATATTTTTTATTATTAACTAAAATTTATTGAAAACTGAAAATGTAAGAGAAAAAAATTAATTTAAAAGAAAGAAGGAGAATAGTTTAAATAATTTTTATAATTTTTAATAAATTTTAATTAATAACAGAGTATATTAAAAAAAAAAAAATTAGATATTACGTTGTTACCTTTTCTCGTTTATAATTACTTACAACGCATCCAAATATACACATAAAAGGCAATTTAACAATTATGTGCATTAACAATTTGCTATCTCTGTAAGTCATTTTGTGATCTAAGCAAGATTGATGGGTGCAACTTCTATCGGGATAGTCATAAACTGTGTCAACTTCCTCTTATCCTTTCGTTAATTCAACCAATGTAATATACAATCGAATGTGTTGTAGTTAGGCAACATTCAATTTCCCACTTTGTATTTATTGCCAATTTGTTTAGCTTATTTAACTAAGCATGAACTGAAATTTGAGCTGTTTTTGCTTCAAGCAGCAACGCATCAATATAACTAATAAAATCATCAGTGCAATTTAAGAAACCATTTGAGGCAACACAACCATCAATGTTCACATTAATGTTATGAGTTGTTCACAAATACACTATTCATGAGCTACTTATGAATAACAGAGACTGAATTCTTCAATAAGTGACACAAATTCATGGTCCTCCGTATCCTAATTCAGCATCTAAATCCAACTCTTTGAACCCTTCTTCTGCTTTGGCCAAGTCCCTTCTTGCCATTTCCAGATCAACCTCTGATGCAGCAATCTTTGCCTTTAGCCGCTTTGTTTCCATCTCTAAAGCAGTCACATGCTCCTTCATCATTTTCACTTCCAAAGCTTTTTCTATATAACTTTTCATTCCTAAGGCAGATTGAACATGTGGCTCTAGCCAAGTCAAATCAAATTTAAAAATCTCAAGTTCCTCCCACAAAATTTGGAGATGATTGCAAGCTTCATCATTCATATCTTTGGCCTTTTGAACCTTAAGAAAATGGAGAACTCGACCTAAAGCGGTCAACGCCCATTCAGCAAACCTACGACTCCTCTTTTGTTGGCTATCAATAAGTGAGGGATGCAAAGAACACACTTCCTCTAGAAGTGGAACAAAAGCTTTTTCTATTTTACCTAATCCTCTGAAATCCACTAGTTCACCAAATGAGGTTGTGTTATCAGAATGGTTAATGGGTTCAGCACAAACTTGTGTAGGAACTGCATCATCTACTTGATTCTCATCTTCTGACTTCTTGATACAAATTTCAGCTTCAATTATACAAGTATCATTTACAATAAACCCATTGCTAGAGTCTTCAAATTCATCTAAAGGTATAAACGTTGTGAAACCCCAATCACTTTCTCTTGCATTGAACTCGTGTTCACATTCTGCCAAATTCATATTACAATATTCAATTGTGGGGATTACAAATACAATGCCACGATTATCAGTTGGATATATAATTACAAATACATTCTCAGTTACTAGACAAAGGACGGTCCATTCAAATATGTTTTTTATTTTATATTTTCACAATAATTAGATTTTAGTCCTTTTAAAGTTTTTATTTGATTTCAAGCCCTAAGTTTTTTTTTTAAAAAAATTCAACACTTATAGTCTTTAATGATGATGTTTTAAACTAAAAGAGTGTCAGATATTAATTAATTTATTTGTTTAACTCACATGATCATCGTTAGAGACTAGAAGTAATAAATTAAAAAAATTAAAATAAAACGACTAAAATTAAAATCTTATAAAAATATAAGAATTAAAAATACATTTGAAGTCTATTTTTAGATTATATCGTACATAATAGAGTCAAACAAAAATAATAGGCTTATATTTAGTAGATATTAGACAATACACTCGTTACTACATCATAATGATAATAGATTTCAAAAATAAGCATTAAAGCTTAAGTAATAAAAACAAAAGGGAAAATGTTGATACTTCTAGTTATCTTTTATGTATAGAAGCACCAAAGGGTTTCCAAAGGAAAGTTCTAACCTAATTTTCCTTAACTGAAATAGACATTTAGTTAAATACGCACAAAACCAAATTAAATTTTTATTTATAATAGTCATCACAAACACTAAAAAGCCAGCGAATTAAAAAGTGCCTTACAATAAGTAACTCAGAAAAAGATGGAATCTGAAAAATTAAACAATGCAGAAGTAACAGAAAATAGGGAAAGAGGTCATCTTTAATTAATTAACTACATTCCTTACCTGTATAATATGCATGTTTATAAAATATATACTATTTTATTCTCATATTATCAATTATTTAAAATACATTTAAAATAATATTAAATAATTTTTTATTTATATTACACTATATTTTAATAAATAAATAACTATAGATTACTTATGAAAAATACTTATGTTTGTTTAGCATTTAAAAGTTCTATTTCGGAATTTTTTGGTAATATCAAATTTGATACTCATTGACCAATTCTTTCTTTTCTTAATAAATCAATGTTGAATTTTGTCTACATTTAATTCATATTGTTCTTATTAAGTATTGGAGGTCAATGATTTCCATTTCTTTCGAGAATTTTGCAATAACATAATCCCATGTAATAATTCAGGTAGTGGCTTAGCTGTCTACAAAAGATATTAACCATACCTATGAACAAAAGTAGTTTTGTTCAATATATTAATACTTCAAAAACCGAACTATTCTTTTATTAGAAGGTGTGAACAGGCATTTCTCAACAGTATAAATTATTAAATCGACAAGAATCTTGGAAAAAAAAAAAGGACATTAGTAACTTGCATGGCTCTAAGCTTGATCTCACTTTGAAAATTATAATAATTGTATTTACTTTTTGTCGATATAATTAAATAATTGCATTCGACAAGTGTTTTTGAACAAATAACCCTAAATAACTCTCTAAACTTTTAAGTGTTATTTTGTTCTAAGACTTTTGTTCAATCATCTATAAAGTTTTGTAAGCTTTATTATTCAGCAACTTTTATTTTAGCCTTAAATTTTGTTTTCAATTCTATTTTCACTTTTCTTGGTGAGGCAAAAAATGAACATGAAAAGGAATAGAGGAGGAAAGCTAGAATAGAAAAAAAAAAAAACTTATTATATATGTATGTGTATATATATATATATATTAAAATATGATGTTTTTAAAAAAAATTATAAAAATATAAGATTCAAAAATTGATATTAACAATTTAAAAAAATATTAAAAATCATAAAATGTCAAAATTCAACAATGATAATTTTTTTAAAATAATTAAGTATAAAAAAAATGTCATTGGCAATTTTGGTCTAACAATTGTTAAAAAGTTAAATTTGTTCATTTTTTTTTTTCCGATCTTAAAAAAGGCAAAAAAGAAAATGAGAATTACCTTTAGCTTTTGTCATTGTGGTATTGACCTGATTGATTAAAGTCAACTTGAAATTTGCAAATTTGCTCCAGCCATAAGGCAAATTAGCAAGACCCTCACCATCCAAATAAACTGACAAGTACTTCACAGCGTTTCCCTTTGGGAAAATAAGAATCCTCCTACAGGGAATGAAGCACACAAATTCAAATCATTTCAAAGACCACATAACATAAATTTTGCACATAAATTCATTGAAGCACCATGAATGCCCATCAAGGAAGAAACTCTCAGAATACAGCTTCTTCTTGGACTCAAATTTGGAGAAGTTCTCAATCGTCCATCTAAACTTATCCTCAATCCTTTCTTTACTGCTTGTGCTTTGATCCTCCATTTTAACAACCTGCCACTTCCAGCACCAACACTGGATAGAAAAAAAAAATTAGATACTTTTGTTTACTAAGATCAAAATTGAAGACAAAATTTTTGCGTTCGGGTGAAAATTTTCCCGAAGCACTTGAATTGCAAACGATGAAGCAGAAAGACAGAGTCAACAAAATCATACACAAAAATGCATACCATGTTCAAGAAGTGCCTATTGTCACTCACGTATGTTTATTATCATTCTTATAGAAAAAATATCTTAAACCGAAAAACAAAAACAAAAAATAATAGACTCCTCCTTAACGAAAAAACATAAATGAATTATGATCTTTCAAAACAAATATCCCCACGACAACAAAGATTTAGGGTTCTAAAAAACACATAATGATAATTTCAAGTTCGACAAATACGGCCAAAATATATCATCACAACAATAATAAGAACAGATGTAGAACAAAGAATTTTTCTATAAATGAAGGAGCAAGAATTGGCACGTACATTCCAATGAACGTGAAAACAGAGAGTGAGAGAGTGTGTGTGTGTGAGAGAGAGAGAGGTATGGAAACTGGTTTGCTTAAAGATGAAGCAAAACAAGACACTTTTAAGGACCTATTGATAGTGTCCACGTGGCCCATGAATGATCGTTGATTTGAATTATAATTATTTATGGTCACACCATAGTAAACAGTTAATAATTATAATCTTTCAAATTTGGAGGGTAAGAAAACTTGTGGGAAAGTGGATAAATGTTTACAAGCGTTGTTAAAAAAAATTCTTTATTGTTATTTAATTACAATAAGGCAGTGAATTGGTATTAATTTTTTATAAAATAAATATGATCGAAGAAAAAGAATTTATTATATATAGAAAAGCTCGCAACATTGAATATTTGATTGAACTCTAATAAATATTTTTATATGAACTATTCCATTTACTTTTTTAAAACGAAACCACTGTTAGGTGGCATCTATGTATCATCGCATAACTTGAAGCGTGAAGTAGCTTAACTAAATTCAGATAACGTGCGTTGCAGTTGAGCCAATGCTATCGCATTTCAACCAAACGTATTTAAAATTTTCCATGTTATGAAGATGATAATTATCAACGCAATGCATCAAACTTAATTGTGATTAACTATATTAACAAATTTTGAAAAATACAATTAAAACACTAAATAACATTAACATAATTTAATATTATACGGAGTTTTTATTTGTTATACATGTGAGCACTGTTTAACAATAATTACTCTATAATTCTTTTAAGATCAATTGTTAGATTAATAATAGCCTTCAAAATTTTATATCGTTTAAATATGTGTTGTGCTTTTTTTAGTCCCTCCAAATTATCAAATAATGGTAACTTTTAGTTTCTAGTGAAAAACTAAAATCACATTGTTTTCTTCTAATATAAATACTAAAAAAAATAAATTTATAGGATCTAAACAAAAAAAATTACTAAAATTATATTTAATCCAATTTATATTTTATCCCATCAATCAAATGTTCAAATAGATGAAGTGTATATTTACAAATAAAAGGACGGAAATCACTTATATAGGCAATCAGAAAAACTACCAAGAGGAATGAAAATGTGTTTTCTCTTTTAAATCTTATTATTTTAATATTTTTTAATCTTCCTTTATTTTATTTCATCAAATATGAAAAAATAAATAAAATAGGAAGACTAAAAACCTAAACTCATAACAAAATTATGTAACTTCATAAAATGTTTGATTCAACTTAGATTTAAAGATAATATTTAAAAATATATCAAAAGATTGAAAAAATAATTAATTATTTTTAAAAATAAATTAAACTAAATGTGTATTTAATCTTTTAGAAAACAATGATACATTGGAAACTAACCTTTTAGTGAAACCTCAAGTAAATAGGTAAACTAGTTCAGGTCTCTTTTTCTTTTTTTGGCTCAACTAAACTTACATTAGTCTAAAAGTTGGACATTTTAAAAATAATTCTTAAATAACTAAATTAGAAAAATTGAAAAAACGACATATAAAAACAACAAATTTTTAAAAAACCAAAATCCCATTTAAGTATTTCCTTTATAATCATTTGTTAACTCCTTGTTTTACAGCTGCATCTATAAAAATTATTATATATTGTTATAAAACAATAATCAATACAAAATAAAAATAAAACACAACTGTTACATTGTTTAATTCCACGGTATGCAGTTAATTTCTGACCAGAAATGATTCTATGTGTGAATTTGGATTCTTTGTTACGTGTTTTACACAGGAAACGATCCAAATCACAAAAATCGTTATAAAATAAAATTATTTAAAAAGAACATACACAGTCGTGTGTAGTGTATAAATATAATTATTCTCTCTTTAAGTGTGTGTTTTACGTCCAAAATAATTGAATATTCCATTCTTAGTGTCCAAGGCATTTTGAACATGCACGAGCCAATGAATCACTTCAGCTATAGTCAGTCAAATATCCTAACGCTTCATGTTCCTTTATATTGTTGACTAAAAGCACTGGTTTATATAGAAAATAATTTAGTTGAATATCTAGAAGTGAAGAAATATTTGAAGAAGCAAACAATATGAGAATAAATGCCAATAATTTTTTGATTCATATGCTACAACACAGCCCACAAGAATTGACAAATGACAATGCACACTTTATCAGGTTTTAATGATAAGTAAGTAGACATACAACATAAAAGCCTTTTCTCTCATACTTATTATATATTACCCATTTTTTGTAAGAGAAAAAATTAATGAAATTTCTCTTATAAATTAAAAATAATTTATTTCTTCAAATTATAAAAAAATTAAATGAGAGTAGTTTTTTTTTTTTAAAAAAAAGTTAATTTTAACATATGAAATAAATTTTATTAATTTTTATATTATTTTTCTTCAAACTTATCCACAAAATTACCCAACCAAAGTCATTTAGCTTAGTATGAGTTGAAATATCTCAAAATGTTCATCTATGGCTATATGAGTTGAGACAAGCAACTAGAGCCCTTTAGCTTAGTATGCAGAACTTGCTCGTATAGAATATATCATGAAACTGAACTTGGTGTAAAGAATATTTTATTACTAATGTTCTATATGGTGTCTCATATTTCAACTGAGGTTAGTAATTTGCTGCTGGACTCGAACACATTTCCCAGCAAGACAAAAACACCCCATTGCTCTTAACCAAATTTGACCCGAATATTGAGGAAGATTAGTCAAACAGTGAGATTTTATTAACAAAGACATATAACTACAGCTTAAATGCGGTGTAGATTATAGACCAAGTCAGCCTTAGCTTAATAAGTATCTTAATCATATTAATTTTTTTATTAAAATATTATATATAATTTATTAGAAATATATACTAAAAAATTGTTACACATTATTAATAAATTAATAAAAGATGAACTTCTTATACTAGTATAAATTTAAAAATTTATACATTTAATCTAAATTTTTCATTTAATTTATATGTAATTGTCAATAAAGTAATAAATTATAAAAATTTAGATTGAGTGTAAAAGTTTTAAAATAATATAATTACACATTATTATTTATATGATATTTATAATTTATAGAAAGCAATCATAAATATTTTACATTCAAATTTAAACCAAAGTTGATTAACCGAATCTAATTAGAACAAATTAATTGTACATCTACATTATAATGGAACGCTTACAATAAAAGAATTAATAGTTTCTCCACAATTTGTACAGAAAAGAAAATGTGCATCCCTTCACCAAAAAGTAGATGAGAAAAAGCCATGATCTAAAACATAGCATACCCTATTGCAGCATTTACATCCATCTCATGGAAACCTTTTCTTACTTCTGACAACCCTCTCCTTGCCACCTCAAACTCCCCTTCAGCAGCAGCAAGTTCACCCCTCAGCTTCTTCATCTTAATCTCCAAAGCAACCACATTGTCCTTTAGTTTCTTCAATTGCTTTGCTCTTTCAAAATAAGCTTTCACACCCAATACTGATTGAACATAAGGCTCCAACCAAGCCAAGTCAAATCCTGAAGACTTGATAAGTTCCTTCCACAAACCTTGAAGGTGCTTTATGTCCTCCTCACTTATATCTTTCACCTTCTTTGTCTTGAGAAAATGCAAAACTTGGCCCAAAGATGTAAAGGCCCATTGTCTAAACCTTAGAGTCCTTTTGCTCTGGCACTGCATTAGGGAAGGGTGCCATATGCAAACCTCCTCCAATAGTGGAATAAAAGCTTTTTCTTCTGCTCCTAAACTTTCCAAATCTATTAGTTCTCTTAGTGTCAAATCTTGAACTTCCCCTTCTGTTATTGGACTAGATCCTGAGGTTCTAGGACTAATTGTATCCGATGATGATTCTGTTGCTTGATCACCTAATGTAGAATCATGGGTTGGACCACAATTTGGGTAAACTTGAATCTTAGGAGCAAAATCAGAGACACAAATATAAGCTTCAATGATGCATGTGTTCCTCACAAGATACCCTTGTTTATGGTCGTAGAAATCACTCAGATTTAGAAAAAATGAACCCCAGCTACGATGTCCTCCATTGAACTTTTGTTGAGTCTCTGGAATTATATATATCAAGAATCAGCTTTAAATTTAATACAAATACAATTATGATCAAATTAGAATACAAAAACTTAATTATATACTCAAAAGATAAAAATTAAGATTTGAAGTTACTTACCCTTTACAATTGACTTCTTCCGATCCACTTGATTAATTAGAGCTAACTTGAAAAACGTGTTTCTGCTCCATCCATACGGTGGTAAAGAATCATCAACCATCAAATACAATGAAAAATGGGTAACATCCCTCCTCAGTGGATACACAAGGATCCTCCTGTGACATGATGAAGAGATGCACAGTACAATTAAATCATTCACTAATTTCATGAAAATTTCTTCAAATTAATTAGGCCATTACTTTGTCCACCCTTCTAACAAATAACACATGATAAACGTAAAATACTAGGTTCATTTTTTCCCTTAGAAAAAAGGGCAAGGAAATCATCATACATAATCTAAACTTGTTACTTTTTCTTACTTGTGTAAGTATCAACCATGTAATGTAGCTATATGAAAAATAAATAAAATAAAATTCATCTCGAGGCACCAACCATGTACAACCACGGGTTTTGATAGGCTTGGAGCGCAATTTCATTCCATTCTTTTTTGAGAAATCTTCAATTTTCCATGTAAATTTCTCAAATCCCACACTTGTCTCTAGCTGATTCACCATTCCGGTATGCACATCTGGCGCAAGCTTTAATTACAAAAAATAAAATAAAATGAAGGAAATTATTTCTCCTATAAGATAGTAGAAAACAAAATAACACGAACATATATATAATCCAAAGGCCCAGAAGTTGATACACTTACAAAGATCCTCCAAGGGTTGGTTGCAAGCACTGAGAAGATGAAGAAATTAAAGGGTTGATTCCTGTGAGTAGGTGATGTTCATGGAATGAAAGATTACAAAGAGAGAGAAGCAGTGAAAGGTAGAGAGGAATATTAAAGGTGGCAAAAAAGTCAAGTCAACGAGATTCTTTTGCTGTAAGGAAGCATGCTGGTATTTTAATAAATAGAAATTTCAAACTGCTACAGTCACAGGGAGCTGGAGAAGGCCATAACTATAACAGGTTAGGCTCATGAAATTTCAACGAAGTAACATGCGCACATTTGCACATTTATTTTGGAGCTTAATTAGGAAAATTTATTTTCTATTTCATTTAAAATTGAGTGATTTAATTTTCATAAAATTGATATATATATATATATAAATATTTTTTTATATTAGTATAAATATAAAAATTTATCTTTCATTAAATTTATATAAAAAATTTTAGATTTATACTAGTGTAAGAAGTCTTACTTCTCTCTCTATATATATTATTAAAAAGTATAAAAATTAATTTTTTAACTTTAAAATAAACAATTTATTATATTTCACAATGATAAATACCATAATATAATCATGTTAAAGAGATAAAAAAAGATGTGATTCTTTTATTATTTTAATTAGTACATCCTAAAATTAATTATGGTAGTTATTTTAATTTAAAAAGTGTGCCTTTTATTTTTAACTAATTTTAGTAGCATGTTTTTTATTTAAAATAAATTTATATATTTTGATAGTTAAAAAAAAAATTGTAAGTTTTTTAAATAACTATATATGTATGTATATATAATAAAATTATTTTTAATGATAATTTTTAAAAAAAATATATTTTTAACTTAATTCTGTAACTACAAAATATAAAGTGGTGAAAAAATTTTATAAATGTAAAAAAAGGTAATTTCAGAAAACTATAAATTTATATAAGGTAATAAGAAAAAATTAAATATTAATTTTTATCTCTAAAATTTATAATAAAATTAAAAAAAAAGTAGTTAAAAATTAAACTAGTTATAAGAAAAGAAAGTGAAATTCATACATTATTGTCAATTAATTTTAATTCTAAAAAGCATATAATTAAATATAAATGAAAGTATCTCTATTTCAGTTTCTAAATAAAATAATTACACATTAAATAATTTTAATCCTAAAATTATATATAATTAACTATTAAAGAAAGTAATTTGACTTAATATTTTATTTCTCAAATAAAATATTCTCATTTATAATATAAAAATTGATATAAAGGTACTCTAATTAGAAGTTACTTACAAGATTAATAGTCTTTAAAGGTTTATTTCTTCTTTTAAAATTACTTACATGATTATATATTTGTTAGAATGAATCATGGCAGGCACCAATGTTATTAAAACTAGTTGAATTGCATTGGGGGAAAGTCATAACTGATATGATCTGATCTAGAAAATATGATTAAATAAGTCAACATGGGAATACAACATTTTAACAAGTTTGTGTTTTAATTTAGAATTCCTCTATAACAAAATTTGTTTTATCCCACTAATCATTTTCTATATAAGATCTCATGAATATTTTACAAGTTTCTCTTTCGCCATTCCAATTTTGAAATCATCTTATTTGATTGTTTTATTTTGTGCACATTCCATCATTGAAGTGGCACACAAGTAATCAGAGATGATTACGGAATGAAGTTGAGTTAATTTTGTATTAAAAAACAATTAGCTGATGGTTTAGCAATACATTCAAGTCACTCTATTTTTTTATAACATTTATTTTTCTACTCTCTCAATCACATCATATAATTTGTTCAATATTTCTTTATTCTCTTTTTATTTTCTCTCCTTTGAATTGTAAATGTGTTATCAAAACATGTTGTCACTAATAAACTTACTCATAAATTTAAACCAATCAAACTTAGTCAGATGTGCTAGAATCACTTACTTGTGAATTTTTTTATTAAAAAATTAATTAGATTGAATCAAATATTTGGTGAAAAATTTTACCACCCACAAACTAAATAAATTAAAACTTGACCTTTTAAATTAGATACATTTAAAAAAAATATTAGCATGATCTATTTAATAAGTTTAATATAAATTAATTCCAATATAAATGAAATTGTCCTATTTCTGCTCCTATATAAAAGTATCACGCAATAACATTAGTACGTATTTGTTCATATGAGGAGGTGTCCAAATATACCCTCATACCTTGGGAAAAATTGTAAGTACGTGTATTATAAGATTTTTTTTTTTTAATTTTAAATTAGAAAAGATGAGCTTGAGCATTTTAATTTAGTCTAATAGACATAAAATTTCAAACTCAAATAAATTCTAAATTTCATAATTTCTTTTGTAAAAAAGTGTTATAATCTGTTTACTTCTATTTTATTTTATTAAACTCAAATTAAAATCAATAAGACTAACAATGAGCTGATTATTTAATAATTACAAAACATAAAATCATGTAAAAGACAATTGATAATATATATATATATATATATATATATATATATATGATCCTAACATTTATATCCATATATAATAATAATACTGATAATAATATATTTCATTTTTATTAAATTACTACTACTAACTTAGGTCTGAATCCGCTGGCCACTGTATATACTTCAATTAGATTAATGTTTATTATAATTTTGATGTATTTATATTCAAATAATGTTAAATTAACTAATTTTTTTACCTCTAAAATTATAATATTAGAGAATAAAAAATTATACTGTTAATTAATAAAATATACAATAAATATAACTTTTAAATTATTTCTTATAAAAATCAGTCTTTCTCGTTAATATAGCAATAATTAGATGATAATTCGGAGTATTCTAATTAAATTTATAATATTAATTTCATACATTATTTTTTACACTAATATTCCTTTTTTCTATCACATTTTTACTTATTAAATTTATTATGTTTCCTTCTCAAAAGTATATATTTTAACAAACATAAAAAATTAAAGCATATATATATAATCCCCCAAATCAGCATATAAAATATATAGGGATTATTTTGTTTTGATCTTTAAAAATAAAAGAAATATTAAAAGTAGTATTTAAATATATAATTTCTCATTAATTTTCGTTTCTTTGTTAAAATTTATTAGTTAACTCTAGTAAAAATGGTGATGTGATACATTTTTAAATACAATGCAGCATAAAGTGACGAAAAGAAACATTTCATTTTTATGTACATTCTTGATAAAGTATTATATGAGAGACAAAAACATAGTTCTTTTTTAATCTTCTTATGTTATAATATTTTAAATTATCATAATTAGAAATGAATTAGTATATAATAGTACATAATATTTTCTATAAGAGTTCATTAAAAATTCTAATAAAATAAATTAGATATTACAATTTTTTTAAGGACCAAATTAATTAATTTTCTATCTTTAGAAAACCAAATTAAAAAGTTTAGTCACCGCAATATATATATATATATATATATATATATATATATATATATAATTTGTTCCTTTTTTTCATTTCTTTTTTATCTTCCTTTATTGATTTTGCATTAGTTATATAATATATTTTGTATAGTTATAATAAACTTTGTGACATATAACATTTTTTAAATTGGATTAATCATTAAATTGATAAAAATATTAATTGACAGTTATTAGTTTAATCATATTTAAATTGGAGTCAAATTGATAATAATAAATATCTAATTTTAATATTTTATAGTAAGTTAAGTAATTAACTAATACAAAATTAAGTTACTTAAATATTTAATTATAATAAAATGATCATATTATATACTTCATAAAAACATTATATTGAACAGTTAAATAATAATAATAATAATAATATATGTAAATATCATGCGTGACCTCTTATTTAAAATATATATATATAGTTTGGAATAAATTTTTTTTAAAAATAAAAAAAATTACAAAATAGCAGTTCAAGATGAATTTATTCAATAAAAAATTCATTAGTAATATTTTTTAATAAAAGTATGACATTAAATATTGTTAATATAATAATTTATACAAGGAAAAAAAAATCAATAGTGATTAGTTTAATTGATAAGATTTTTTTTAAGAAAAAACTATATGTGGACTTTAACCTTTTGAATATAAAGTAAGTTCGAATAAAAGAGAGATAGAAAATAAATAAAAAATAAAAAATGAGACTGACTGAATTTAAAAGAAATAATTTGAAGTGCGACAGTGAGGAAAAAGTGTGGTGCTTGGGGTGTGTGTGTGTGTGTCTGAGATTGGTAGTGTTTTTCGCTCCACATGGAGCTCTCATCCTACTCCTCACCAACTTCACTTGGTGTTCCTCCCATTTGCAATTCCTCCTATTCTGGTTATAAGAGCACCACGCCAAAGGCTTCTCTTTTGTTCTTAGGATTTTCCAAACACTTGCACTCAATTGGACTCCACCATCACACATGCTGCTCAATTCCTGTTCCCAAGAAACATCAGAGACCCATTTCCATCAGGGTGTGTTTCTTTCCCCTTAAAGTCCCATTTTTTATCCTTTTCCCATAAATAAATTGGTGGGTTTTGTTTCATGGATAGGAATTAGGAAGGGAAGGTTTTTGAATTGCTGCTTCATGGTCCTGCAATGTTTGGAATCTTCTGTGAAATATAAATATCAGTGATGCCATTTTCTTCGAGCATGCTCCACAAACCAGTGGCTGTGATTGGTTTTATGATGCTGACCCACTTATCCTTGTTTTTCCCCCCCTCTTTTTTGTTTTCTCGGTTCTTTTCATTTAGAGAATGCTCAACTGCAACTTAAACATGTTCTCTTTTCATTGAATGTAATTAGGTTGGGTAGGTTTGCTTGCTTCACTCTCACACACGCATGCCAAGACTCTGGGATTTCCTAAGTCAAGTCATAATTGACAGCAAGGAAGTTTAGCATTGAAACTCGAGTTCGAGAAGAATATTTAGCCTTTATCAAAAAGACAAAACTTTGTGTAGTATCATAGGTGTTTTTTAGTGTTGTTCTCTAAATAAGATTGCAGTTTCATTTTGGTAAGAGTAATGTATGCCAACCTTTTTTACGTGGATTGCCAAGGTGAAACTCTAATTTTTAATTGGAGAACACAATAAAAAATCAATTGAAGTATTATGGTAAGTGTGAAGATAAAAAAATCACATCTGAGATGGTTAGATTATGTAATGATTAAATTGAAATCTATTTAGATAACAATTAAAAAGTAATAATGATGATGCTGGTAGTGGTAGTGGTGGAGATGTGGGAGTAAGATAGAGGGCACAGTTAGAGAGGCTATGTTGATTAGAGAGGCTGTTTGTTCAGTTGAGGTAATAGGATTAGTATAGCAATATATGGGATGGTAGCATGACAAACTAAATGATGGCATGGACATGGAAAATGACCAATTCCAGTATAATGTGGTAATGGAACAGTTGAAATAATGATGAGTGTTAGTGAGATGGAGTACCTGGTTATAGTTGTTTCAGTTATGTGTTGGCAAGGTCATGGTTAACTGGACGCTATGATAATGTTAGTGATAAAAGGTGACAGTGAAAACATGCTGTGATGCTGATAAATAAAGAGGTAATGAATATGAACTGACAAATGTTTCTTAGACTGTAATAGTGTTAGTAAATTATGATTATTACAATGTTAACTAGCAAGTTACTAAATAATTTCAGAATTTTCAGTGATTGTTGTTAAGATTATTTTAAAGAAACAGCATCAAATTAAAGCTGGATAGCAATTTTCACATTCGGCTGCAATTGCAGCAATTGATTATTCCGTTATTCACTTCAATTTTTTTATCACTGGCTTTTGGTTTTGTATGAGATTTGAGTCTGCCTTATCAATCTAAAGTGAGATGAATGCTGGCAGGCCTGCACTAAAGTTGGAGCTGCTGGATCTGATCGTCCTTTTGCTGACAGATTTTTAGATTTGAAAGATGCATGCTGGAGATTTTTAAGGCCACATACTATACGTGGTACTGCCCTGGGTTCTGTGTGAGTAACTTTACAACTTGCTAGCGTTTTGTTTCTTCCTGCATCATGCCAAGTATACTTGTCTAAATTTCATTTCTTCTTTGTATTTACAGTGCTTTGGTAGCAAGAGCATTAATTGAGAACTCAAATTTGATAAAGTGGTCTCTTTTGTTCAAAGCGTTCTCTGGTCTTTTTGCCTTGATATGTGGGAATGGCTACATAGTTGGCATCAATCAAATCTATGACATTAGCATTGACAAGTATGATGCAGACACATGCCAACTGCCTCATTACCTACCATCTCCCTATTGTTCTTTCTTTGCTTTCTTTCCTTACCTTTGCACATTTCTTGTTGAGTTTGAATATTTTGTTTGGGTCATTTTTAATTGCACAGTTATTTAATTTCAAGTTTATTTTTCTCTGGATCTGGAATTATTCCCATTGTTAGTTGAATTTCTACCTAATAAATTCAGATACCCTATTAGTCTAAGTTTTTCTATTCATTTTCAGGGTAAACAAACCTTATTTACCTATAGCTGCAGGGGATCTTTCTGTCCAATCTGCATGGTTCTTAGTTATATTTTTTGCGGCAGCTGGCCTGTTGATTGTGGGATTTAACTTTGGGCCCTTTATATTTTCTCTTTATTCACTTGGCCTTTTTCTTGGTACTATCTATTCTGTCCCTCCGTTTAGAATGAAACGCTTTCCCGTTGCGGCATTTCTTATTATTGCCACGGTATGATATATCCTCCTTTTCTCTCAATCTTTGCATTACTAACAACAAATTTTCAATTTCTATTTGTAAGCCACAACAGAGATACCTTTTGAGTTTTTTTTTTTTGGACGAATTTAGTGGGCTATTTCATTTTAAGTATCTGTTGATATGGTTGAACATGATTGACAGAGAAGACTTTTGCAGGTACGGGGTTTTCTTCTTAACTTTGGTGTCTACTATGCCACTAGAGCTGCCCTTGGTCTTGCATTTGAGTGGAGGTGGGTTGGAGCTTATCATTTGTTGCTTCATATTTGTAATTGGTGAAGTTGAACAATTGACTACAGTAACTATGAGCTTTTAATGTTTCAACAAAAAAAATAAAAGAATCATAACAATAGAATATCCAATATGGAGTTGCCTAAAATGAAGGCATCAAGTGTGGCTTTAAAACCAGTTTAGCAGATAGAAAATTGGGAGAGGAAATATAGACATACAATTTAACGCAGGTAAACTTAAATTGAACTATATGCCGAAATCCGGTGGAGAAACAGAGAGAAAATTCCCTATTATCAATGAAAGTTACTAGGAGCAGCTAAGCACTCAAACACTAATCACTATGTACCCAAATCTTCACCTTCCCGTGCAAATTTACTTGATAATTCCATGTTGGATAGCACTGTAGGTTTTTCTGATCAGATTACATGTTGGGCAGAAACCCATAATTCAATGCAAGCTGCCTTATAACAGCGACAATGTTAGAAGGGTAAAGTCCACCTTTAAATGGTCGAGTCAGTCAATTTGGCCTCTCAATTGAAATTGTACTTCCCTAGTGTAACTGAATGAAGGTTATAAGGATATAGCTTTTCATCCGATATTGTTTAAATATCCAACTTATGTTTTGAGAGCTTATATAGTGTTCTTCTATCTCTCTACCTGCAGCTCTCCTGTGGTTTTCATCACAACGTTTGTAACATTGTTTGCATTAGTAATTGCTATTACAAAAGACCTTCCAGATGTTGAAGGAGATCGCAAGTAAGTTATGGGATCAAGAGTGCAGGATCACTGATCCTATTTACCTTAGTTGCTGATACAGCATTTGACTTCTATCTCACTATATATGCTTTTGTGTATGCCGGTGTGTGTGTATATAGTGTATGTGCGTGCTTGTGTGGATGTGTTATGCATGTGGGTGTATGCTTGTATAAAGCATAATTTTCTTCCCTCCGATATTTGGTGTAATATATATCATGTGCTTACGTGTAATACTAACTTCAGGTACCAGATATCAACCTTTGCTACAAAATTAGGAGTTCAGAACATTGCTTTCCTTGGTTCTGGAATTTTGCTGATGAACTACATTGTTTCCATATTGGCAGCAATTTATATGCCACAGGTGAACAAAATGTACCAATCACTTGAAATATTATTGTTATTATTTTTTTATTTTCTTGAAAACAAAACCTTGTGTAATTTCTGGTACTGTTGACAGGCTTTCAGGCGTTGGTTACTGATACCAGCTCATATGATTTTTGCATTAAGCTTGATTAACCAGGTTTGTTTGTTGGATTAATAACTATTTGGGTTTTATTCTAATTTAAGTAGATTTTCTTACATGTTTCATGTTTTTTTCTCTTTTGATCCTGTTGCTCCTCCAGCCATACATCCAGTCAATTCATTACTCTGATTAAGATATACTTTGTTAATTATCTATTGATTAAATATTTGTTTAGAGAAATGGGGTGGCCACTGAGTGCTGGGTTGTCTTTAATTGCTTCTGAGTATAACTAGGATACATATATCCTTAAAGAATATGAAATATTGCACTAAAATGTGTCTATCAGATTTTTTAATTTATTGGGACAATGTGGGAGGGGGAGGTTGGGGCAATAAAAGAACCATAAATTAAAGAACCCACTATAGATAGGGACTTATGGCTGAAGATTCTCACAAGATGTTGAAGCCAAATGCATCATAATCCAACATAAAGGACCCATTTGCACAAAACCTTACACTTTATAATATTGGACAGCATAAGATATAGCCTGGTGTGATCTACATTTCATGTCCTTGAAGATATTGGCACCATAAAATGTAGTAGTTCCCTCTGTGAACCAGTCTTAAGGCTGTGGGGCATGTGATAATTAGAGTTCACTGACAATATGCTTGATGAGATTAGAGAGAAAAATACCTACCCACTATAATGTTGTTGAGGAATGAAGATTTTGTCTTTCCCATGCTCTATGAATGCTTATTGGGACTTGAGTGCCATGCAGAAGTTACTTGTCTGATGCTTCCACTTTTTTCCTGCGCTGTTTCATTCTTTTTCCAAAATGCACACAAGTGGTTGTGATATTGTAAAATGGCCTTGATTTGTTTTCTTATATTTCAGGCACGGATATTAGAACAAGCAAATTATACCAAGGTAATCTGTTATATCTCCTGCATGAAAATAGTTGTAGTAACTTATTAACTGTTTTCAATGCTAAAAAATAATGGCACTAAAAGAAGAGGTAAATTAATACAAATTTCGTACATATCACGTGGAATGGTTTTAAAAAGGACTTGCTTTGCTTGTTATGGTAGTTCCACTCTATTTTTATTAATATATAGATTGGGTGCTTTTGGGTGAATACCTTAATTAAACATTCTATCAGCTCTTATTGCATGATAACTGATGACATAAATTTGATCATACAACTTATTAAAATAAGTTAAAAAGAGGTTACGACACACATAAGCTCTCTTAAATGTTCTTTGTCACTCAAATATGAAAAATTGAATACTTGATTACTTCAAGAGGAAAACTTGAATGACCTTTTTTGTCAATAAATATCTAGATAATTTAATAGTAGGACAATTTTTAAATATTTTTTGTATAAAGCTTTCTAGACACCATCTCTGCTAGTCTAAGTGGTGAACTTTTCATTCCTTATCTTTATTTTTTTCCACTATTGTTTAAGCTGCTTTTGAAATGTCTGACTGTATGCTGCAGGATGCAATATCAGGATTCTATCGATTCATATGGAATCTGTTCTATGCTGAGTATGCAATATTTCCTTTCATCTAGGGAACCTAACTAGATTTTTCATGGAAAAAGGTGCACACAAGCATAGTTTAGAGAGATCTTAATTGTATCAAGCATCAGTAAGTATACTACTTTTTTTAAATGAATATTTTTGTATATAAATGTGTGATAGCATTTACTTTTAGTTTGATGTAATGCCATTAACGTATTTCATAATGTTAGACGGACAATATCTTGAATTGTTTTTTATTCCTCTATGTTTTACAAGTTCTATAAGCAGTGTAGTTTTTGTCACTACCAAGGGTAGAGTAGTAAAAATAAACTGTGTATGTGAAATTATTCAATTTATGATTTTTTTACGTAATTTAAAATGATTGTTAAAAAAAAGATAATTTAAAATGAACCATGTATTTGCAAGTTTGTTTGTCCTTAATAAATATAACTAAGTAGAACTATGAAGTATATATTTGAGTGAATAATTTAGTTATTTGACACTAAGAGCAAGAGTTGCCGAATGCTCATGCAACACATTTTTAACACCTTTCGATATTTAAACAAGTCAATTAATCTTCAAACTGAGCATTTCACTATTTACATTATCTAAACTTGATATTACTTAATTACCTTTTCAAAAGTTTTGTCCGTTTCATATAATTATTTTTCTCACTAGCTTTTTAATAATGTTGGTTACAATGATGTTAACCAATAATATCAAGAAGCTAGGGAAAATAATATTTTCATTTTTTTTCAATATTAACTATAGAATATATAAAATTGTAAATAATAAAGGATACTATTTAAAATTGAAGAAAAAGTTATATATAATTAATCTAAAAGAGAAATTTGTGCAAAAAAGGCAATTTCTCGTATTGAAAGAATTAAAGGGTAAATTTAAAATTTTGATGAGGGGTAATTAAGAATGTCATATGTTATTTGAAGAAAAGTGTAAAAGTATTATCTATTTATGGTGGGATGATGACTTGTATAGAAAATAAGTGTACGTTTCCAAAGGTTGACTGCTCCGAACCTTAGTGTCCTTACTAATATTGTTAGTCTCACATCACATATTAATAAATTTTGGAGTACTTAACCTAATAAATTGCAAAAAATTGTGAATGATTTATTATCTATCTAATAACAAATAGTGATTTAATACAATTTATCGATTATTTTTTATTTATATTAAGGGATTAGTTTGTTGAATTATGCATATATAGATTAAATATAATATATTGAATTATTACTTATCATCAAAGGTACTCGAAATCTTTCATCATAAAAATAAATGCTTTTTTATAGGGAAAAATAATTATTCTAATTAATTTAGATTTAATAAACTTGTCAATTTATCTTTTATTTTTATCTAAAGAATCCATAAAAGTAATTAAAGTTTAAGTATCAACTAAATAAGATTGGATGAGTCAAATGGGATGATATACATACGTAAAACAAAACTAAATGTGGAGGGTTGTGAATTAAAAATCTATAGTTATTAAACTTCAATCTTTTAGAAAATGAAGGAACGCAAATTCTTATTTATATTTTTAATTTTTTTTTAAAAAATTTAGTTACGTTCATAACAAATATAAACTTTTATTTATATTTTTAATTATATGTTAGCGTTGTTAAATATATTATTGACAAATACAAATTTTTATTAGATATATCAATTATTTTATTTTATTATTTATTTTTTTATTAATTTATTAGACATAATATTGATAAATACTGTGTATTTTTTATTTATAGACTCAATAAAAATTAAATCTAGAATAAATATTAATTAACATTAATGACATATATTATTGATTTTTATTTACAGATTTAATAAAAATCAAATTTTAAGTAAATATTAACAAACATTAATATTATTGATATTATTAAAAGATTATTTATTAAATTATTAAAAAAATAATGATATCATTAATAAATATTAACAAGAAAAATAATTTTTATAGTTAAATAATTGATGTAATATATATATATTAATGTAAAATCTCTTTTACTTATATTATATCATCTGTATTTACGTCATTTCACCGACCAATTTTAAAATCATTTTTAACGAACGTAAAAGCCTCTGCTAGTGCACACTGTATTCTTTTCACACAAATTATCAAGACTATATCACAATATATAACGAATGCAAAGAACATGCTTTCTTAACACGGTCCTGTATTCTCATTAATTATATAACTAAAGTGTTTCACTATTTAAATCACTCAAAATAAACATTATATAATGAAAGTAAGTTCAATAATATTAAGTAAAAATAAAACTATTATGCAATAGTATTTTATAATAAATTAATAAATTTGACTTATATTATTAACTTTTATAATTGAATTAAAAAAACCTAAAATAAAATCATGGGTAATATTCGCATGCAAGGTTTACACGTGTTCAGTAGTCATGGAAGCATGGCTCTGGTGGTGCCAAGTCTCAAACAGTTTTCAACAATTAAAAAGACATAAGAATCTAAAAGACACCGAAAAGAGTGAGTGTGACAGTAGCATTACATAATAATAGCGAATATATTTGAAGAAGTAAAATGGTAGCAAGGACATGAACAAAGCTGAAAGTGATGGAGGGAAGTGTGGGTGATGATCAGCTGAGGGCAGGTACAGAGCAGCGTAGGATGAGGATGAAGGTGATGGTGGGTATTGATGAGAGTGATGGAAGCTTCTATGCTCTTAAATGGGCCATTGATAATCTCTTCACAACAATGGCTACTGTGGGAGAAGCAACACATGAGAATGAAGGAATGGTGTTTCTGATTCATGTTGAACCCAAAGTTCACAACTATGTGTATCCCGTTGGACCCGGTGGAGCTGGTTAGTTTCCTTTATTTCTTGTTCCTCTCTCATATTATCATTTCAATAACAAAACGTGAGTATAATAGATACACTTTTTTTTAATGCAATTTTTTTTATCTATATCTCGTCTAATTAAACAACAAAAAATAATAATTTAAGGGCAGTTTTTCAAATGTTTTTAAAATTTAAACTCTGTTGTCATGATATTATTATATACAGGTTTTTAAAATAATATTATTAACATCTGTGCAGCAAATTGTAAATAGATTTCTACTCTAAAAATCTGATCAAATTCGACTAATCAAATCATGGATTTAGGTCAAATTAATTAAGATTTGGTGTTAGACATATTAAGATATAGTATTTATTATAGTGATTATTAAGGTTAATTTGTTTAATACTGTAAATTTGGTGTGGTGCAAATATGATCCTTATTACGTATGTCCCCTTCAACAGCTTTTTATCCTGCATCTGTAGTGGTGGATTCGGTGAAGAAAGCACAAGAAGAAAGATCCACAGCTATTCTCTCTCGGGCATTGAAAATGTGCCATGATAAGTTGGTAAACGTCTCATGCTTCACAGAATTCATCTCTATTTATTTTATTTTATTTTATTTAGGAACTTTATTATATGCATGCACACCAATATCGATATACCATATATATTACACTTTTTTAATTAGAAAAGTAAATAGCGTGGTGTATAGAATGTGTATATAATTTTCTTGTTCTCGAAAGAAACAATTCAAAAATAATGTATTAAACTTGGAGTGAAAATAATATTACTGATTAAATAGATTACTTTTAGAAGGTAAATTAATTTTGCAACATTGTACTTCTAATTAAAAAAAACTCTGATAAAAATACTCTTTATTAAAAAATTGTATAATTAATCTTTTTTAAAAAATTCTTCCCAAAACGAGAAAATGATTTAACTTTTATATTTGATAGAAGATTGCTGCCGAAAAAGTTAATCCTGCCGTCTATATTATAAGGTTAAAATTCATATTCAGTTCATATATTTGGTAATTATTTATAAATTAGTTTTTATATTTAAAAAAACTACACTTTAGTCATTATACACTTTGTTACATTTTACTAATATCTTTACGACGGTAAAAGACTAAAGTATATTTTTTAAATAAGGAGATTAACTAATAAATGAGTAAAATATAGAAATTAAATGTATTTTTCAATCACATTATAAATATTTTTTTCAAATAATTTTTATCCTAAAATATTACCTATTCTTTAATTAAAAAAAAAAATCAACTTTAGGATAATATGTTGGATGGGGTGGTTGGTATTCTATTTGGGTCACTGAAATGCCAACTTTGACATTTGAAGTCTGAAAGAGGAATGAAAATGCAGGTGAAAGCAGAAAGCATAATTCTGAATGGGGACCCAAGAGAAATGATTTGTGAAGCCGCAGAGCAAATGCAAGTTAATCTCTTAGTCATGGGTAGCCGTGGCCTCGGCACGCTCAAAAGGTTACTTACGGTTCATAATTTCAAATTGTTAAAATTAATTTTAATCATAATTTTTTTTTTTTAAAATGCGAAAAAAAACTTTATGACTATAGTTTAGTGTATATTTAAATGATCCTTAATAAAATAATCACTTCTTAAAAATACTTTTTTTTTAATGAAATTGTTAAAAAAATGATTATTTTCTCAAAAACATTATCAAAGCATGCAGTTAGTGTAGGGATTTATCATGACTCTGCTGCACTACCATATAGCTTTTGCAATTTATGTATTTCTCTTTTCATTTGTTTTTCAAGAGCAATTTACTGATAGGATGTGAAGTGATGGTTACTATTTACTTTAATTTCATTTGGATGATTGATGATTCAAAGTATACATTTGGTTGTTGCAGGACATTTCTTGGAAGTGTAAGCGACTATTGTGCACATCATGCAAGAACACCCATCCTTATTGTGAAACCACCAGAGCACAGTAAAAAACAGTAACTGCAGTTTTCTGCTTATGCGAAGTGCGCGCAACTTCTAATGGAAGGATTGGATTTGTATATTTGAACTTCATCTTATCTATGAAGGCTATGTCCTTGCTTATTTACTTTTCTGTAATAATAACCAACTATAATACTTTAAAATAAATTAAGATTGCGTTGTATACTTTAGTGATTCTAAAGTCCTAAAAGTAATAGAATTGCAAAAGTCAAGCTATTATATAAGTAAATTTTAAAATAATTAAAATCGTTGATTAGATTGTGTGTTAAATTAATAGTTAGGATTATTGAAACTGCAAAAGTAAAAAATTAGATGAGTAATCTAAAACGAAGAGTAAAAAATAAAAAGTTTATATATATTTAGCGAATTTGAAAGGATGAAAGTAAATAAAAAATTTATATATATTTAGTGAATTTCAAAGATGACATTGTTAACATTAATTATTATATCTTAGAAAGTTAACCATTGTTGTCATTTTTATTATACAAATAATGTTGATAAAATTGTAGTCTATATTTTTGTATGACATTGTAACCCTTACGTCATTTTCGTTTTGATTGTAATCATAAATCATTACAAATGATACAATGTACGAAATAATATTCTATGTTGTTAATTGTATATCAGTTTTGATCCTCAGTGCGGTGAGATAGCGAAAATTAACATTTAGTCTTATAAGTCAATTTTGAGAGAGATCGATATAGAAGTTAAAAATTGATATTAAAAATGTTGTTTGTACATTTTATGTCTCAGAGAACTGTTACATAAGAAATATATATAAATAAAATAGTGTAATCATATCGGTTAGCTTCAAATATCGATGCAGTTAATAGTGACATTGTTTTATACAATGTAAAGTTTGAAGCGGACATAACATTTTGTTGTTAAAATCACATTAATGCAAGCAAACAAAAGCTAAATTTGAGGAGAAACTGTTGAAGGGTAGCATTTGTTAAGCTGAAAAAGGAAGTAGATTAGGACGACAAAGAGGAAGACGAAAGAGTCTGGGTAAGGCAAGTCAAATAATACCCTTTGTTTGTCTGTAAGATAAAATGAATGTCAGTGGAAATGACAATGAAAACGAAGAAGTTTGTGTACATTTTGATTGTTTAAGCAAAAGTTGTTGTATTTGATTTACAAAAAGTAATTTGGATTTGTTACATGTTTTTGTTGATGAATGCAATGTTGAAGAGAAAATTGCAACTTCAGATGAAGTTGATATGCAGAATGACGGGTATGAACATTTGTTTGATTTATCTAACATTAAGAACATAGAATTTTTTAGTGTGAATGATGGTTATAAATTTTATAATGAATATGGCAAAACGAATGAGTTTTGGCGTGAGGAAAAACAAACATAGTAAAAATAAGAATGTAGAAGTTATGTGACAGCGATTTGTCTCTTCAAGTGAAGGTTTTTGAAGACAAATATATCGAAGTTTGCCAAATCGACTTAGGGACCACGAAGCAATGACAAGATGTGGTTGTGAGGTTGAGTTGAAGGTATGAAAAGATGTAGATAAAGGGTGTTGGGTAGTTTCACAATTTTTTGATGATCATAATCATAATTTAGTTAATGGCAATTATTATGGAATGTTAAGGTCACATCGAAAAATAAATGATGCTGATGTTGAACAAATGCGGACAATGAGAAAAAGTGGTATTTCAACGTCAAAAATATATAACTCATTTGTTAACCAAAGAGAAAGTTATAAGATTGTTGATTTTTGTAAAAAAGATATGTATAATCAGATTGAGAAAGATAGAAGAGGAGAGGATGAGGATGTCAAAGAGGCAGAAAAATTCTTATTAAGATTGCAGTTTAAGGATCCAAAGTTGTATTGGGGTTATAAAGTAGATTGTAATGGAAGGTTGTTGATATTTTTTGGTGTGATGGTACTAGTCAAATTGATTATGCAATATTTGGAGATGTTGCTTTTGATGCTACTTATGGGAGGAATAAGTACAAATGTCTTGTGGTGGTATTTTCAAGCGTTAATCATCATAAATAAATGTGTGTATTTAGGTGTGCTATTGTGTCTGATGAAAAAGAAGAAACTTATGTATGAGCTCTTCATCAGTTCTTGACAACAATGAAGGGTAAGTGTCCTAACTGTGTAATTATTGATGATGACGTTTCTATGAAGAATGCTATAAAGAAAGTGTTTCCAAATGTTCATCATTGATTGTGTGGGTAACATTTAATGAGGAATGTGAGATCAAATGTTTGTAATGAAAGTTTTAGTAAATTGTTTAAGGAATCCATGCTTAGTGATCTTGACATTGAATAATTTGAACAAAGGTAGGCTTCTGGAGTGTGATTTTGGGGATAATGAATGGGTTCAAGAACTGTATAATAAAAAGGAGATGTGGTACACTGCTTACATTAGGAAAAAAAAATTTGCTGCATTAAGGACAACCTAAAGATGTGAGGGCCTACATCTCCAAATTGATAAATATGTGAAGTCACGAAATAATTTGAGAGAATTTTTAAAAAATTTTAAGCAGTGTTTAAAATTTTAAGTATGTGAAGTCACGAAATTTTAAGTATGATAACATTCGCAACAAGGAAAAAGAAATAAATTTTAAGTCATATTATGGTGATCCAGCGTTCATAAGTCATGTAGTTGCAATGGAAAAGTTTGCAGGAATGGTAGATACTAGGAATATTTTCAAGTTATTTCGTGACATGTTAATGAAGTCATTGCATTTCAAAGTAGTGGATGTTATTGAATGTCTTTCATTAAGGATTTATATTGTTGTGAAAAATGATCATGGAGGAAAACAATGGAAAGTTTGTTTTGAACCATAAAAAAGGGACATACATTGTTGTTGTCTTGGGATAAAATCATTTGGTTTACCATTTGTTGGTATCCCTGAATGTTGACCACCTACCAACATGTGTCATCTTAAATAGATGGACTAAAATGGCAAAGACTAGTTATGAGGATGGTAATAATAATATGATAAGAAATGATGATGAAGTCTCATTGAGGAGGAGTTGGTATGGTTTGTTGTGTGATAGTAGAAGGTTAGTGTTTCAATTGGCTAGTCGAAGTTACAATGAAGTTTTTGACATTCATGACATGTTGAGAAAAGAGATACATCGACTACAACAAAAGTTTGGAAATCACAATGTCATGGCTAGTGACAATTTTAGTGATTATGGTAGAATCGATGCTACTGATCCAATGGCAAACACGAATATTACCGTGGGTATGTGTAGTAGTATTGTTGGTAGCAAACGTAAACGTGTTAGATGGTGTGATTATTGTAAACATGTTGGTCATACTCGACATTCTTGTTAACATGCCATTAACATAAGTCACTTACTAAGGATGACATATTCTTGTGATTCTTCTTTAAGGAACGTATATTTTGAAGAAAATGTTATGAACTAAATCATGGTATGATTTTTTCTTCATAACAATTATTATATGTGTTTTGACGTTAATACAACATCTAAGATTCATTATATGAAAATAATGTCTTTTGTTATCACTATTTTGCAAGTGTGTTTGTACATCGGCTCTGCCTAGCCTATAACTTAAATCTATAATTTATTATTCTGGAGAGTTTTGTTTGTTATGTTCCATTGTTTTATTTGAATGTTATGCAATAGTTTTATTTTTTTATTTTCGGTATACAAAACTTTCTTCATATTATGTAACTGGGATAGTTTTATAGCAAATATATTATATTATAATTTGACTCACTCTGACATAGTCATTAACTATAGAACGCAAGTTTTGTTATATTATAATTTACAAAAGTTGACACTATATGAAAAATCAACAGACGCTTACATTAACCACACTTGAATAACGGAGATGCAATTCATCTCCTCACTCATTGTGAATTCCAGAATATCCTTTTATGTCAAATACAAAGGCATTAACGATGAACAACCAATTATTTCATGTTCTAGTTGTAATTGCAAAGGTTGCTTTCCTATCTTAACGACGAATATACATAACCGTTCAATGACATCGTCTTCAACCTCTTTCAACGTCTTAAACGGTCCGAAGAAAACACCATTGAGGAGAGTCACATTGTTGCTAAGAAAATTGTGAGTATTTCAACCCAAAATACAAAAATGATGTTGAGACGTATTTACCAAATTGATCTAACTGATTAATATTGTAGGATTCTTTAATGGAGCAAAGTTTACAGGGCACCTTTACACTTGTTGGTGGTCAACTGCTATTGGCAAATCGGAGCACAGGGGTCGTGTACGTGGTGCTGCTTGGGGTGTTGGCATTACAAAGTATTTTGGCCCAAGTCCACGTAACCGAAGATTGACAGAGGAAGAATTACAAATCATTGAAGAAGAAATCACACGACAAGTACGAGCTGAATTAAGGCAAGAACTTGCATTGTTGGGTCTTTCTCAAGCAAACACAACAATTCGATGCAATGTTGGTGAACCATGTCCACCTGAAAACTATGTCAGCACGAAATAGAGTTGTACCCTGATTGATGTTTCTGGGGACAATGGTGGTAGCTCTGGTGAATGTAAGTTGTTTGTTGAGGAACCTCTGATAAACTATGTGACATTTGGCAGGGTACAGAACCTAGGTCAAACATATCAACTTGATGACAATTATGAAGAGTCATCCACAGTAGTGGTTGAACGGGTTGAGGTTGTTGATGCTCTTGTCCCTATGTCAATTCAAGGGATTATGATTGTGGGTAAAGCTCAGAATAAGGTCATAAATTGGCCAACAAGACTGTTACAGTTAACAAATGATGAGGTACAATATGTCTCTATTGTGAACTTCTTAGTTTATTATATTGACCATTATAATAAATGATTAAATATAATAGTTAAATTTATAGATTATTTATAAGCGTGGAACGGATAGTGCTGACAAGTTGAAAGAGGTTGAAGATGATGTCATTGAATAGTTATGTATATTCGCCGTTAAGATAGGAAAGCAACCTTTGCAATTACAATTAGAACCTAAAATAACTTATTGTTCATCGTCAATGCCTTTGTATTTGAC